AGAAGGGGGCAGGGCCTGGCCTATATAAACAAGCCAGGCTGGCAGTTGAGGAAGGTGGAGGTCTGTTGGAGCAAGCTGAGTGGGGAAGGCTGGCGGCCTGAGACCCTTCTGCGGGATGGTACAGAGTGGAGGAAGCCCTGGTAGGGAGATGAATGAGGGATAGCCAGTGGCTTGGAATTTAGGTTGTAGCCCAGGAGTGGGAGTTTTCTGTTTTGTTGTTGGATAAGACCGGAGGACCGGGTGAGGCTGTAGGGGTTGGAGGAGGCCTCATAGGAGCTCCCCAGTAGTGTGGGGGTTCCTGGTGCTGGAGAGGGTGCTGGGTTTTGGGGGTGTATTGATCCCGGCCCCAGTGTGGGCAGTAGCCGGGGGGTAAAGCCCCAGTGTGGGTGCAGGCGAGAAGCCCCAGTGGGGCACAAGACCCGGAAAGGGGGTCTGGAGGCCAGGCACAGCTACGGCCACCTGAGCCTTGATTGTGAGGAGCCCCAGTGGGGTGTAGGACCTGAGAACGGGGTCTGGGGTCCAGGCACGGCTATGGCCACCTGAGCCTCGAAAGCGGGAATTGCAAGGCAAGGTCCCAGAGCAGGCGAGAGTGCAGGAGAAGCCAGGGAGCACCCAAGAGGGCGCAGGCAGACAGGGAGACAAGCCGGAGAGTGTCCGTGAGGGCATGGGCAATGGAGACGAGGCAGAGAGCCCGTGAGGGCCCTGGTGACTGTAGGGCCCACGCGTAGCCCCTAAGGCTGGAGTGCACCAGGCAACTAGACAGAGCCAAGATACATCAGGGCACCATGTCAAAGTAGATAGAAAGGCAGCCTCCCCTAAACACTTTAGACATCAAAGAGGTGGCGGGCGAGATTGGTGAGGGTGCGTTGATACCGACTTGACACAGTAGGGGGCGCTAGGGGAGTTCACAGCCGCCCCTAGGTCGCACCCTGTCACAGGGGGTCTGTAGTAGACCCCCACTGTTAAGTCTCTTTCCCCCTGACCCTCTTGTATTCAGACCCAGAGCACTTTTGTGTGCCCTCATCTGACTCATGATGGACAGGAGGGTCCTCTGCCTGCTGCACCTGAGAAGGGTTTTGCTACCTGAGCCCAGCGCGGTCAGGGCTTGCGGCTTGGGTGAAGGCACATGCAGGGAGAATCTGCAGCAGGGTTTCTTGGCAGGTGCTGATGGGGTAGAAACAAGGCGTGTGATAGATTCCTTCCCGAGTAACATAGGTCCCAGGTGATCCAAACCTTCTTGGACCTATGGGTAAGGGGCCCAATTCCCCTAGGCCTGCAACACAGTGGGTGTTTGTAAGGACCCTGCAGAAGTTTGCCTGTCAGGACCACAGCACTGAGCTTCCCCGACTCTGTCTCCCTAGGGAAGTAACTGAAGAACTGCCTCTAGCAGCTGCCAAGTCCTCCGTGCCGCACAGCCTGCATTCGCCCTCTCTGCCGGGAGCTCTGCCCACGCTCTGCAGACGACAGCTCAGCCCTGTGCTGGCTCAGGTTGGGGGAGATGGACTTTGAGCCTTGAACCCACTCTTTGACCTGCGGGGCCATGGGGCCTCCACGCCACGTCCCTGCCTCGCTGCGTTTCTTCAACCATCTCGTCGCTTTTCTTCCCTGGGCCTCACCTGAGGACTTCTATAGTCAGTGGCTGAACTTGAACCTCTGCCCTTTTACCTTCCAGAAGTAACGGCCTAGGTTAGTGGATAGTGCATGGGGAACTGGGGCTTTCTTTGCCCTTAGCTGTAAGGTGAAGTTCATGTGGCCCCTTGAGAATCAATACGTAGGTGAGACCCCCCTGGTAGCCTGGTTATTGCCAATCCCAAAAGAGATGCCCGACTGAAAGGGAGCATGAGCTGGCGGGCTTGCAGTCAGGATGTGTCCCAAGCTGGCTGTATGGCTTTGGGCAGGAGATGTACAGCCCCCTCTGCAAAGTGGTCATTAGAAAACACTTACCTACCTGGCAGCCACATTGGGAGGCTTCGCTGGCTCGCATTTCTAAAGTGCTTTGAGATCCCCAGGGGAAGGACTGCTGTCAAATGCAGAGTGAAATAAACCACTTTACTCTTCTGCCGAGGAGGAGTCTTTTGTTGGTGTCCCAGCCGTGGTCCCCAGGGTCCGTCCAGCCCGCTGGTCTGGTCCACTGAGGGGTCCAGCCTGCTCCCCGCTCTCTCTGTGCCCCTGGCGCTGTGCGGGACCGGCACGAACAACACTTCTGACACCACCGATTTCCAGCCCAGGTCTCCCCTGGAGAATTGCATTACTTACAAATCCTTTATAAAAAAAAAAAAGATCAAGATTTCAGAATGAAGTTCATTCCCAAGCGGCTCGTTGATATTTTGACACTCTTTAATGACGCGGCAGGAGCAGTAACGCGTAACAGGACGTTGGTCTCGTGGGAGATCAGGTGCAGTAGCCCACGCTGGCTTGATTCATGTATGAAGTAGTATTTGAAGTACCCTATTCATCTATTTCATCTTCCAAATCATCGTAGGGAAGATGCTGCTTGCTGACGGAAGCCGATTTCCTAGATCAAAGTGTCTGCTGTATGTGTTTTAATGAAGCACACTGACATCTGAAGAAAAGAGAAGCACCCGGTGCACCAATTAGAGGAGCACCTGCTGTTAATAGCCTCCTCTTAGCCTAGAAACCTTTTCTGAGATGATTAAAGACTAAATAATAGGTGCGGGTGAAGGGAAGGACCAAAGAGAGGTGGTGCAGTCTCCATCTCTGGAGGTTTTGAAGCAGCCCCATGTAGACAAAGCCTTGGCTGGCATGATGGAGTTGGGGCTGCTCCTGCTTGGAGCAGGGGGTTGGACTAGATGTGACC